CACTAGACTTAATCCTTTGCCTATGCTCGCCGCCGGACCATCAACTCTCAATTCAACACTTCCAATCAGCACTAAACGGCCAACAGGTCTGCCAGTCCCTCCTTCACCCCATCCTTCTCGCATCCACCCTTGGGACAAAACTCCACATCCGCGAGCACCTCTGCGGGGAATGGGAAGGGTGCGGCACCCACCTCAATATCCTCCACGTAATCCGCCGCGTCCTCCCCATAACTCTCGCATCCACACAAGTAGTCCAGCGGCGTTTTACCGTCCTTGTCCATCAAGGACGCGTCCGCGCCAGCCTCCAACAAGATCTTTGCCACTCCCAGATTGCCGCCAATGGCCGCCTCGTGCAGGGCCGTCAAGCCGTCGGCGTCCTGCACATTCACGTCGCGCCTGCCTCAATCAGCAATCTGACAATCACCTCGGCATCTTCTCCTATGTTGTATGTAAACAAAAACAGCGCCGTGTCATTGAAGTTGTCCCTCAGGTCGACGGTGGCGCCCGCTTGAATAAGCGCCTGCTCCACTTCTGGGTCCGCGACTAAGGCACCCAAAGTCCACTTTTGCACATAAATAACCCTAAATTGAGAAGTTTTTACGGCGTAAATAACAAGCATGGTTACTGCAATGCCCTGTCAGGCTTGTTTGCCACCACTCCGGTTGTTTAATGACGTGTGCAACAGCAAACGGACACAATGCTCTCGCACCGCAAAGAAAGCACATCTGTTTTTTACTCATCTTGAATCGAAAGGTAAAGTCCATGCGTGGCGCGTGCTCTAACAGCGCCCACACGCCTGTAGCAGAGGAAGACGAAAAGCTGACTTCACAACAAGGGATGGCGCTTGCGATCTTATTGTGGTGCACGCAACTTTCAAGCAAATAGCCGAGTCCACGGCGGTCGCTGGAGCGCCGCGACCAAATGATAATTAATGGAAAAAAATAGCTCTGGAGTCCCAATTCTGGTGACGTCGCCGGGGGGGGAGAGGGGACGACGTCGCCGCTCCGTGGCTCGTGGCGTCGGTGGGAGAACTGAGATCCCTGCCAGCGCCGTCGACAGCTGCGACGACACCCCCATAGGCCCCTGAGGCTGTCGACGTGGTCCAGTGAGAAAACTCCCAACCTCTGGCGACGCCATGGGGGGGAAGGAGGGAGGGAGGGAGGAGGGAGGGAGGGAGGGAGGGAGGGAGGGGGCGACGCACCCCCTGAGGTCCCCGAAAGCACAGTGAACGATCAGAGGGACCCCCTTGTGCGGACTGGCTGCTCATGAAATGCCGCTTGTCACAATGATGATCGCCACCAGAAAATGGCAATGGCAGTGGAAGGACCTCTCAAACGGGCAGCAGATCACCAACCGCCGGGCAGCGCACGCAAATGTCCTTGCAGAAAAGCTTGCAAATGTCGTCTAGAGCTCTGCAATCAATCGCAGCAGCTCCTGAAAAGTCGGTGAAATAAAAAACGTCGGTTAGGTCCACGGTCCAGTCATCTCTGTCCACAATGCGGCAGCTCATGGCGCAGCAGTGCTTCTTTCCGCTTTGGCGCGGCTGTGCAGCGACACTGATTGAACAGTTTTGGCTGGCAGAAAGACCCCACTAGAGGTGTGGGTCACGAGCGGCAAGAAAAGCGGCTCAAGAACGGCCAGAGTGGCCGCGATCTTCGAAAATGCCGAGCGCTATTGCGCTTAGGCCATGGCGCACGTTGCGCGCACAGCCAGGTGACTCAGGCAGCTATTCCGCATGCCTAAGACGCCGCACGAGGCACAGAGAAACCACACGCAGTCGTTGTTGCAGCTGCCATGCTGAAGACAACAATATTGCATTAATGCATCGTCTCCTTCAGTGCTCTCCGCGCCCTCCGTACTTATAACCCACCAAGACGTCCGGCATTTCCCACAATACCCCAGCGTGGGAAAGGATGTTTTCATTCCCCGGAATATTCTTGTCACAACACCGTATCACCACAATTCAGCCCGGTACACCCCGTGTCGTTTGGCAAACAGCCACAGAACACCCAGCGGGTCACATTTTCATCACACAGCCACGTAAGCCCCCTTCATCCGCCCCTGGCTCCGTTTCATTATGCTCCGCGGCAGGTCGTGACGGGGGCACCCCCCTCCATCATAAACGGAGGTCCCGCTCATAAAGTACACAGTTTGGCCAAGTCGTGGCCAAAACAACGCCCATTGACACATTTCCTCAAGCAAACACCTCTTGAAAACATCTCCCAATGAAATAGAGATGACATGTTGCGGAATTGACTGCAGCTCATTGCTTTCAAATCCAAAACTTAGATCAACTTTAACAACAATAATTATCTGAATATATGCAGCCCTGATTGATAATTTTGGTGTTTTTCTTTCTCATTGTGCACCAACCTGTTGAACGGTGGTCAGATTAGTGAAGGTTCTCAGGCTGTCGACGCTCCCTTTCCCCACGTGTGGACCTCGCGGGTCGCCCACTGAGTAGTATCCTTAGGATACTAATTTTTCTTACGAGTCCCATTGTTGGCGACCCGACAGCTCGCAAATGAATGGAAGTTGCTCATTAGCTAAGTACTTTTCTGGCATAAATTGCACATTTTAACATGGGCTTTGGGCCTGCTCACGTGGTATTCACTTTCTGCGCATACAAGGTTCAAAATGCCTCTTGTGGTCAAACATCTGCAATGCAGATTTGCCTTGATTTACCTTTATTAGTATCCGCATGCAGGGCACAAATGCTGCTCAGATGCAGTTATGGCTTTAAGTTCATGGCAGTTCAGCCCCTCAAAAGCACAGGCACAAGCTGTGCAAAGCAGACGCTCATGCCAATCCCTTCCGGGCCGGTTGCCCTGGGGCAGTCTCTTGCATGTTCCACATCGCCACACACGTGGAGGCAAGACAAGCAGCGGCGAGGCTGAGTTGAAAACTTTCCTAGAAATCATGCAAGTAGGGGTGGTGCGCCCACACCTGGGTGAACACGGAGGCAGAGGTTTCTGTGTGTTGCGCAATCGCATCGCCGTCACAATCTTTCAATTTTGAGATATTTTTGCTGCTATAACGTGCTATTACGCTCACTAGCGAAAGAAAGGACCAAACAGCACGTTTTGCGAACACATATGTATGCATTTCATCAATGTTCTGCACGCTGAAACTCTAATGTGACCAAACCCGTAAACCTTATACGCATTTGAACACGTGTTATTTGGCCCTTTTTCCCCTAGTGATTTACATGTTACAACATATGTTGTTACATGTTATATGATATATGTTATTGCTATAACACGTTGTTACATTTACATGTGATTACATATGTTGCCACATGTTATATGTCATTGCTACGGCATGCTATAACAGGTATTGGAGCCAGGCCAACGATAATGAGATTGGGGCGGCGACTCGATTGGGTAACGTCAAGAGATCTCCATCTTGTGTTCGCATCATTCGTCTTAATTCGCATGGATCACGCTGCTGATTCCTGTTCCATCACGTGACTGCGCCACGATCATCGGTGGCCGCGCCAAACGCCACTCACAGGGTGTAGCAATATTGGATGAACCTGCCGCTTCCTGCAGCCACGGCGATGCGAGGTAGCAATTGGTTACGGTGCCAGGTGGGGAGGAAATCACGTTGTTCCCTCTAAATTCGTACAATCAAAACAAACCATTGTTGCTCAACGTCATTGCCATGTGGTGGATGCAACACTGACCGTTTTTTTCTTACCTGCTCGACTTCTTGAGAGAAACCGATTTGCTGGAGGCGTTCTGGGAGTGTGGTCACACTTAGAATAGGGGTGCAATAACTGTGGAGTGCGAAATCGGGCAAGTCCTTTTGAACTTCAGATGCAAATATCGCTATCGGAATGAACACGGAGAATTGCAATTTTGAATGGATAGTGATGTTCACGGAAAGTTTCTATCCAAACAACCAGCCCATCGGGTTTGGCTACCAACAGGGACAAGGACAAATTGCAGAAGAATTCTAAGAGAAGCAAAAAAATTCTTCAATGTTTCCTCTTCTAGCTGTTATATCCGTGTGGCAATATCGCGCTTGGCCATGCCCAACGATCTTGCGCAGCTGCATGTGCATGAAATTAGGTACATAACACATGCTCAGCGTATTTTGGAGACGCATCAGCAGCACTTGAATCGATCAGCGACACAATTGCAGGCACAAGCGAATCCTAACCTCCAAAGTGTGAAGTTTGCGTATAAGGGGAAGGAAACAATGCCCCTTATTGGTCGCGAGTGCAACAGCGTTACAATGTCGAAAGTGCAAAAAGCTAGAACATGTGTCTACAAAGGCAGCAAAAAAACACAAAAAAGAGACCAACAATCCAAAATTCCATATTTCCTAGCCCTCCCACACAAAAAATTGGCCCTGGATGAAAAAAATCGAATGCATGGACTACGAGTCAGAGAACTTGTTAAAATCGATCAACCGTATCGAAGGGATGCGCTAGTTTGGAACTTGAATCTGGTTCACCTAACATCCCTTCGCATTTCCATCGAGTCTCTTGGGGAAGAGAACCCTCATTCCTCTCACCGCCGCGGATGCACAGCCACAGCAAATGGCAGCAGGCATACGCCGCGATTGAAGCGCCGGTGGAGAGAAATTCCAACAGTCCAGTTTCGCTTATAACGCGCCCCATCCCTCTCCAACCCCTTCGGAAGCAGCCCGGCGCACCAACTCACATGTTTGTAAACCGATGTCAATGCGCCGATCCAGACCACCAATTGAGCAACTTATGCCTCACCAAAGTTGCAAGTACGATCCTCATTCCTGCGCTCGATCTCAAGGAAGCCATCCAGGGCACCCCCGTACTCACGAGATCGGCGCCGCGTGCGACTTGCTGGATTTCCACCACCATGCCCACTACAGTGTACAGTACCTTGAGCCAATACTTTAGTCTAATACCATAGCGTCCAGTGCAGCAGCAACGATCGCATTTGCCACTGCAGCAGTGTGCACAGCCATCGGCGGCATCTGCGGCAATGGCGGGACCAACTGCCGTGGGGCTTCGATCACTCGAAGAGATCAAAGATCGTCTCGTTGATCCATTTATTCATTTTGGCGACGCTCGTGAATATGGCCACCCCGTCAGGAGACTGACAGTCTTCGACGTCCGAAAAGGAGGCGATGCCAAGGATGCGCTTGGCAAAGGGGTCCTTGCCGCCTGGGCTGTCAAAGTTGGGGAACCAGACCAGGGGGCTGCCTTCGTCGCCTGCACATTGAACAGCAGCGCATGCAATGAGTGTTTGTTGAATGAAGTTTTGATTCAAACCTTATCGCCGCGCTCTGCATTATATCTGCTTCAAAGCGCTTGCTAAAACGATATGGGAAACATAACAATATGTGAGCTACAAAGTAGAATTGGGTGTTTAAAGCTTGTGTACATGACGAGACGTGAGCAATAAATGACATAACGCTATGTGAACAGTAAACAACATAACAACATGTGAATAAATAAATAATAAGCAACGTAACAAGTATGTGAGCATAAACAACATAACAATGTGCAAGCAATGAGGTAAAATTGGATGTGCAAAACTGGATAGAGTGAAGCGAGACATTTGAAACAAGACATTCTGGCACCTACAGCGCATGCTCATTGACGTCTACTGAACCATGCATAGTCCTTGATCTGGTGCAAAAGTGTGACGCAGAGTGGAGCAACAAACATATTTATGGGAAGAAAGTATTAAGAAATATTATTGCGGAGCGCGAGCCAGCCCTATTCAACAGTAATCTTGCGACATTCAATCACCACTGGTCAATAAGCACGAACGAAACTTCAACCGTTGCACCAAGGAAGTAAACTCAATAATAACACTGTTGTCTTTATGGGCTAGTGTAGCTTTCACTAATGATCTGTGCACTGTCTTTTACCGAGTGTTGACACTAGTTACTGCTAAAACAGTTACGATCACGCCGATGCAAGCTACTGAAAAATAAGCACGTGTATTATAGAGCAGAACTTGGGAGAATTGCCATAGTTGGATATGGCTGTCACATGCCCCATATCCAGGAAATGGAGGCTCAGTATCCTGGTTGAGAATGTTCACATCCAGAAAATGCTAGTATCATACTCGATATCGAATACCTGAGCAAGGATATAAGGGCACCAGTGCCCAGGATATGTGACGTATTTCTCTTTCTACATTTGTTTCTCACGGGCACTTCAGACCCGCGCAACAACAAATAAACGGGCATATTTGAAAGCGATGGAAAATCAGTTGCCGCATGGAATTCAATGTATGTGTGTGTCAAGAACGGCGATAGTAGCAGAATAAATAACAGCAGCAGCAGCAGCAGCAGCCGCCTATTCGACTTAGTTAAGAAACAAATAAGCGCCTCTGAATATTGCAAATTCTACTGGTATGCGCCTCCGCCAACACCTATCAATCACCACCTTGGCACATCCCGACCACGTTCATGCCCCGCGAGCACATCATGCTGTCCGTCAGCTCCGTGTCGTCCTCGATGTACTCCTCCTCGCAGTCCTCCCTCCCAATCACGTCCCAGCTCCCGGCCTGCAGCTGAGCCGAGAACCCGCCGTCCGCGACCTCCCGGCCGAACGAGACGAACTGCGCGGTCCCATTGACGGATATCGTGAAGTCCTCCTCCGCCAGGGGCACCGGGAAACGGTAGCACGACGTGTTGGAGAGTTTCAGCACCGCGATGTCGTTGCCTTCCGAGCGGTCCCCGCTCCAGTCCGGGTGCAGCACGGACTCCACCGTGGTCAGCGTCTGTTGGGAACGAAGTAGCAGGGAGGTAGGATTGTCACAACGAGAGAAAGAAACGGGTCGCATAAAAGGCACCCTTTCCTGAGCAAGTGCGTGCGAGACACATTTCCATACCGTGCAAAGATTATACAGAGCGTCTGATGCGGAGAGATGAGCACGAAAGACAAGACAATTTCCAGGACATCGCTCAAGCTCGGGGCTGAATTCCAAATCGAAATCGGGGTCGACATTGGCACCTAATCCAAATTGGAACCGGATTTGAAATTTGAAACCGGAATGGGGGAGGGTTGAGCAACTCGGAGCTGGAAACTTTGGACTTCGAAGCGGTCCAATTCGAATGAAAAGAATTAGGAATGGGGGCCAGCGCGCCCAGTAACGGCCTGAAAATGGCCCGAATCCTCTTCAGGATGGCTGATTGGCACCTGCATTAACGCAATGTCATATATTAGTAAGACACAACTATATATTAATAGTATATAATTACATATTAATCCAGTATTGGCGTAACGTACTTGGCAATTACCGAATTTCAGAAGTTCAAGAATGCGGGTCGAAAGCACAGCAGCACGCGGTGGCAATATTCCGGCAGTGCGACGGCAAGAATGCCACAATTTCATGCCAGCGGCCGCGGCGCACCTCAATGGGCTCGTCCCTCCGCCTCCCGGCGATGTCCACCTCGGGCAAGAAAACGGCATTCGGGTTCGCCAGGTCGTCGATGCAGTGCGCCGAGGTCACGACCCACCGAGACAGACTGTTTACGCCGTCCGACACGAGGATGCCGCCGCAAGAGTGCTCCCCGTTGTCGTCCTTCAGCGAGACGTAGAAGCTGAAGGGGCCGGGCCGACTGCAGTTGGCAGGGGGGATCTCCGCGTCAGTTGGCGGCTGCCCCAGACCCTGGAACAGCCTCCGATGGGCGGCGGTGGGGGCCTCAAGGGACACTGCGAGTTGCGGAAATGGCGGGAGTCACTGACAATTGTTGCAATTCCGAATAGCAGCATTGAAAATTCAACAAATTGAATTACCACTCTCTGTTACCACTCCTGAATTATAGTAATAGTATACGACTCAGTGCCTTGGAGTACTTATTTGTAACACTTTTGTCCTGCACCGTACATTATTAATCGAGCTTGGTCGACGGACAAGTGCCAGCGGATCGGTGAATTGATACTGTGAAGTGGTGAAATGGCAAGAAAAACAGTGAATGGATTGGTGGATTGATCGACCGCCATACATCCGAGCTTTGTTTTCTGCGCAGTGGCAGCCGCAAGTATATTCACAGTGCCAAGTGGCCACACCCACTGGCTGAATGCAGCTGGTGCAAGGCTGTAGCATTTTGACAGTGCCAGCCGCAGCTGTCGCACCAGCAAGCCGGGGCGTCGCTGAATCGCCCTCGCGACGCGCCCAGCAAAAGCAGCGCGCCGCAGAGGACGGCCAATCCATGGGCACACCTGCTGACCTTGCGCACCGCATACACGGCAAAATAAATCGTGAACACGGCGTATCAAATATCACGCACCCTTAACTAGCTCTGCCTTGGGGGGTGACAGTCCGTCCACAAAAAATACAAAATAAAATTCAATTAAACGTGTATAACAAATTGAATCAAAAATCCGCGGAGATCGAGATGGGAAGAGGAGGCGGTGATACGCCAGGTTTGGGCTGGGACTATGCCAGAGGCTGGCATTGCCACGGGCTCGGAGCCCCACAGCTGAGGGAACTGAATTCCAGAGAGATCGCGGACAGGCATGATATGGCGGATATGGCAGGGACTGTTATACAGCCTGATATGGCAGGGACTTGTCCATGATTGACTGATGGTTGCATGACTATAAAGGACAGTTACGGTCGTGCAACCATAGGCCGAGAATACAGTAGTCCCTCTGTCTTTTCCGTGAGAGTCACTTCTTCCGCCGACAAGGCCAACGTGGGTGGTGGTTTAGGACTTAGGATGTCGAAACAAGAATGGATCTTCACGGAAGGCAGAGGGGCTAATCACATGCCCCATCGGTCAATCATGGACCGTCACTGCCACATCAGTGCGCAGCGGACGGTGGGCGCGGCTTTCAACTATCATGCTGCGACGTGGCCCAAGCAATTGGGGCCGAGCTCCGCGCCCGACTCGAGGGCGCACGGCACAGCCAGAGCGGGGACTGCCATCGATGCCGCCGGGGCGGCCACCCAGGTGGCTCCGGAAAAAGTGACTGAACGGATATATGTGGCCGCCAGAGGCCTTGTACTTTCGGTCAGGGCGCCGTTGTCCTTGCTCGATGAAAACGGACGCCCCTGTGTGCCCGCGCCCAGCTGCATGGTGGTGTGCTGGAAGGCTGGGCCATCGAGACAAGAGGTGTGGGGGGCTGCCGTGTCCGGCCCGGAGAGGCCAGAGGCCAGCATCGGACACCCAAGGTCCGGTGAAGGTGAACACGTTTTCAACGTGCCGTCCAGGCGGGAGCATTTCAGTCATCCATGGATGGAAGGCGGACGGCTTTCAGCAATCCATGCATAAAGGCGCGCGGTTGTCGGGAGCCAGTCCGGACGAGGCGGACAGCTCTCCGGCCGGCGGGTAGCGAAGTTCGCCAAATGGGACAAACCATGCCAAGGCGTTTCGCCCTGTCCCCCAGCCATGGCAGCCCCGCTGGGCGTGTCCTCCAACGCGCTTGGCCAGTCGTGTTCAGCGACTTCAAGGGGCTGTAGGGTCCCTGTCGCCCCCGCATTCGCCGGACAGGGAGTCGTTACACCGGAACTGACAGGCGCCTCCCACGCAGGGCGCCCAGGTAAGAAACCTGTCACTTGCCAAGTGAAGTTGTAGGTTGCCCCCCCTCCCGGGCTATCTCCAAGTGTGACATGGAGCGGTCGGCCGCAGAGGCTCCCGGGAGGCCACACACACCCATTCCCTGCGAGGCTTCCCATCCCAACTGGGATCGAACCCAGGGGCATACCGCCGGGAATTTCGGCGGCCGTTCGGCCTGAGCGCGACCCGCGAACACCATTACCTGCCAGCAGAGCAGGAGCTGTGCGTCCTGTCCAGCTGCCCTCTGACTAACTCGTTCCCTGCCCACGGCCTACCCGCGTGCCCGCGGACAAGGCTCATCGACCCCTCGCCCGACCTTCCCTATCAATCCATCTAGCCACGAAAACCCGGGTCAGGATTCAACGAGGCCCCGGGGGCGAGCCGCGATCATGGAGGCCGTCGGACACCCCCCAAGCCTCCTCCGAATCTCGTTTCAATCCCGGTCGCGGCGGCTCCGCAGGGCACTCGGGTGGGGGCCATGCGCGGGGAGATGCCGCGCTAGCGCTCGCTGGCCCGGGCTGACGCAGCCAGCGGGCGGGATCCAATTCCGAGAGTGCGCTGTAGCCAAGCCAAGGCGTCATTTCCAAACCCCATCCCGAGCACGGCTTGCGCCTCTATCAGCAGCACTCGGTTTCCCCCCCTCCTCCCAAGGGGTCCATCCCCGCCCGGCCAGATCGGGAGACCCGATGCCCGGATGGGCGGGCGATCCGCGAAGCGCCCCGGCGTGTCGCCCCACCTGGAGATCCCGCCACCGAGCCACACAGGGCCGCCAGCGTGGCCAGGCACAGGACGCCCCACGTCATCCCTTCCCAACGCACTGCCAGCCGGAGACGTCGGTTCGGGTCCTGAAGCCAGGCAGTGGGCCTCGCGGTAAGGGAAAGGGGCGCGCGTTGCCAAGGCTTGTACGGCGCGCCTTTGCTCCCGCGGTCTGTGTGGAGAGATGGCCTATTTGTAGGCTGGCCGCTTGAGCCCTGTGAGCGGCGAAGCCCTAGGTGCTGTGGCCGCGGGGGGTGGGCGTTGCCGCCCGAAGATGGGTTACTGGAGTGAGCGACTGGGGGGCCTGTTGGTCGTACGCTGGGCAGCGGCGCGGACTCGGGTTGCGTTTGCGCGGCAGAGAAGGCGCCAGGGTGGGCCAGGCGCCTCGGGTCAGCTTCCGACGTCGGGTCAGCTTCGAACACAGGCGTCAGGGCCGGCTGGGGGCGCGAGGCCGCCACGGCCATCCTTCGCCGCACCCTTTTTGGTGCGCGCACGCGGCCGGTCGTACTCGGCAGTTCACTGCGCGTACGGACTGGCGAAGGACCTTCGCCAAAGCGTCCCTTTCATCCACAAGTGATACAACAGCGCACCCCAAGAGCACCTAAACCACTTTCCGCGGAGCAAAGGAACCTCCATTGCGATTCGCAACGCACGCGCGGTGTTCGGGGGGCCGCGGGGTGACAAATGGGACGCGGCCTCGATGGGGTCAGCCTCCGGTGACAGCTTGGGCAGTGCCACCACCACAGGTTGGCGACAGTTCGCCTGTGCCGGAGAAGACCGCGGTGTGGGGCCTGTCACGTCGCAGCGTAGATGCCCTGACGTGACAGCTGGTAGATCATGTCTGATACAGATTCTGTTAGCCTGCCTGTCGTGTCACCCGTCACACCACCTGTCGCATCACCTATCGCATCAAAATAGTCCGTGGGGGATGCGCAGCTTCCGAGACACCTCAGTGACGCAAATGCTGGCAGTTTGGCAGGCCCATTGCTTCACCGCGCTGGTGCGTGAGCCGATGCGCTGGAAACATTTTAAGTTAAAATGCAAATTGATTCCGCAGTCGCACTGCCTCGAGTGGCACGTTTCTTTCAGATATGCCAGATCGCCATCCAGTTCGTGCTGTGAGCTCTGGTTGAAAGGCGCGCGCTCTCTGATAGGTAATGCGAGCCATTAACCGGTGATGTAGGGCACACCCTATTAGCGAGTTTTTGGTAATTTGATTTACGAGCATGGAAGGATGGACGTGGGACATGGGGGAAGGGTGGAAGCGGCGGTACTATATAGAGCTATTATTCAACAGCAAACCAGGAGCTCACAAGTTGGGTGTACGAAAAACGGTTCGTTTCTCGGCATCCGATTGTACTGTAGCATGAGTTATCAGTCTTCAGCACTCCATTAGTCAGTGTGAATCACCAGAAAGATATACCATCTTGGCCTTGCAAAATGTGATGCCATTTTGGCAGTGGTTGTTGCCATCAAAATCACTTTCATGCCATCGAAATCAGTATTGTAACGTCAAGTAGTGTTGAAATGGCATCGCCGACATGGCTTTTCTGCAAGTGAACCCAAGGGAGCCCGATGAACGCATGTTCGTTTCGATTTTCTGGTGCTTGGCTGGACCCGTTTCTTTAGTGCTGTACGGAAAGTGCAGCTCAACGCTGCAGCAATACTGCTACAACGACCAGTCGTTGTCCGTGTAGTCCAGTATTGGATATTATTACATTTGTCGGTATGTAGGGCGCGTTCACGTCATTCCTAGATTCCACATCTGTTAAATTGTTCATTGTCGTTGAAGATTCACAAGGATGCTTTTTGAAAGCAGGAGAGGAGAAAGATCTACAAACGGCATCTGTTGGCGTAATTGAATTTAATTGAGTTGGGCTAACCTGCTCAACCGTTGCTTAACAATGCTTAGCACTCAGACCAGCATTGTCGCAGCAACAGCTTGAGTACGGATCCATGTCGATGTGATGGCTTGATTTTGATTTCTGCCTGTCCGCGAATCGCAAGCACAACGAAGGCCCGGTCGCCGTCCTTCCACCTGGGGACTTCATTCGCCAGCTTCAGTGCCCACACAATTTTGCACCTGCTGAACAGGGTCGCGAACCATACCCTGCTGAGGGACGGGATGTGGCCGGAGCCGCTGCTGCAGACGGAATGAGAAGCAGTACATACGGCTGTCGCACGGCATACACGATCGCCGTACATGCAATTGTCGCACGTTGGGCCCCCTTGCATGCACGTCGCATCGCCAATCGTAATGCGGTGCTCGATGCAGCGCAGCCACCGTTCGGCTGGCTGCACGGGCGCGGGGACTCACTAGGAGAAAAAGGGCCAAATAACACTTTTGCGAACATACATAAAACACATTTTATCAAAGTTCTGCAAGCTAAGAAC